GGGTTTTTGTGTTTGCACCCGCCGTTCTGGTCCCCCTCTTTCCATTGGTATGAACATTATTGGACTCGGACCTCTGTTTTTGGGACTCAATGGTGTTGCATTTTGTTTTCTTGGCTTGCTATGATCTGTGATATCTGAATCACCTTATCTGAAATCCTGCTTCTCCTGATACTCGGTGTGGGTGCGACTCCCCAGCTTTCTTTCCTGATGCTTGGTATGAGCACAACTCTTCAGCCTTTCCCGGTGCTTGATGCGAGTGCTACTCCATATCTCCTCCTGACACTTGGCATGAGCACAACTTTCCAGCATTTTCTGGTGCTCAATGTGAGTGCTACTCTGTATCCCTTCCTGACGCTAGTTGTGAGCACAACTTTCCAGCAGCCTGCTTTCGCCGCTCACTATAGACGCCTGCCTCTGCCTCTTGTCCCGGGCAGCCAGCTCTGCCAATCCACTCCCTGCTTCGCTCAGCTCCCGGCTCACCACCAGCAGCCTCCCAGGTTTTGGCTTTCTACATTCCAGCCTCAGTCCCCTTTTGTTCCCAACCTAACCTCCCTACCAGTTTGGTGTCTGTTTCTCTGCTTTGTATAACAAACTCAGTTTCCTCTCCTGCATTTATTCTGGTGTTTCAGTCTGGGAAAGTTTACATGAAGGTCTTTAGAAATTTTACAGTCAAATTAACGACCCATGATGTTATCGACAGTACTACGCTACCTATTAATTTTTCTGCTGTGGGACTGTATGTGGTTGTGTCAGAAAAGATGCAGTGAACACCGGTTGGATTTACCAACCTTGGAGCTACTTGAGAGGTAGTGATGTTTCCACTACTCGGTGGGACTTAAGAGTAAGTAAAAAAAACCAAACAAACAAACAAAAAAAACACGTTGCATGTCTGTTAATGCCTTGTTTCTGTAACCTTAGAGAGAATTGGGGGCGGCTGTGGCTCAGGAGGTAGAGTGGGTCGTTTCCTAACCAGAGGATTAGCGGTTTGATTCCCGGCTTGTCCAGTCTACATGTCAAAGTGTCCTTGAGCAAGACATTGAACCCCCAGTTGATAACACCGGTGTGTGAATGAGTGTTTGGGAGTGCAAATGGGTGAATGGGCAAACAGTATGAAAGCACTTTGAGTGTGAAGCATAGAAAGGTGCTATACAAACATAAGACCATTTGTTGTAATACTGGAGAAGTTACTATGTCTGCATTATGCCAGTTAAGATAATGTTAGGGGAAAGACATCTCGATGGGGAAACAGTTTTCGACACAACACCGGCAGCAGGAGTTGTGCTCATTCACGAACTATTCTCTCTCTTTTTAGGAAGAGGCCCTTGAGGTTAATCATTCTGAAATAATTACTATTTGGAGTTATGATGGGTGCAAAGCTAGTCTACTGTAGAGATACCCAAGATTAAACATTAAACGGCTGGGAATGAGAATGCCATGGGCTCTTTAAGTTTACTCCAAGTCTTGGAATAACTGTTGCTGTTGTCGTTGGTTGTTATTTAGACTCAACTGTGTCAAGGCCTTCCTCAATTATGAAACAATGAAATTTTAATTTTTACATTGTTATAATGTATAATGAAATAAAAGAATATCATTTGGAATCATGACTGTCAAGCTGTGGGACACTCAGGAAGAAGTTCATTTTGAGCCCTAATTGGGGAATTCCACTTTGGCACTTACATATCCTGGTGCATGAAGGAAAAACCATCTTTGAACCGTGTAATAAAAGTCCATGACACAACCCCTACTTTCTCAGCCGCCACTCTCACATTTCATCAAAACTAGGATCACAGTCTGTATAGAAGACTTTATCAGAGCCCTACACTGACATGAGACTCAGCACAGACTGTAGATTTAAAGCACTTCACTTTCAACCTCATGTTATGAACAGTGGAAGAAAAAAACATTTTAGCCATGCAAGCATTCATTTTACTAGAGAGCTCACAGAGCTCAGAAGCAGCAAATATCCACGGCCGTAAGTAACTAAAGGGCTCACTCTGTTGCTTAAGAATATTTCAAGATGCGCTTGATGCTCCAACTGTTGCAAGGATCAAATATGTAACCAATATATTTCTCTACATGTTTTATTGAGGTTATTCTGTCAGTTGATAAATAAAGAAAAATGGGCAGTGCAGCTGCTTGAAACATGGCATAAAACATAGCAGTGACAAGGAGGTCAGGCAGGTAGAAGTAGCCCTTTAAGCCCTTTCAACATGTCAGAAAAGTCTTTCCAAATTCTGTCTGGTGCAGTGAGATATTCAAATATCAAAAGATATTAGATAGGCTTAACAGAAGCTCATTGTTTCTTGAGAAAGGTGTCAGAATGATGGAGCGCCAGGTATCTTAGTTCACTGTAATAATACAGTTTTGTAGATTTCAGTATTTTAGTTGGCAGCTAGTTAACACAGCAAACTTCTCATATGAATTACAACGTTTCTTCAATGTCTTCTGTCTGTCTGCCTGTCTGCACACCCTTATTTCCATTAGTTCATGCAACAGTGCATGTTCAGTTTATAATGGAGGTGTCATGATTCTGTCCCCTCTGCTTCCGTTATCATTCTCTTATTTTGACACCACTTCCGGTCACGGTGTCATTTCAGCTACGGACTCTTTACACTAATCAGTGACAATTGCTTGCACCTGTTTTCACCCCTTTATAGGCAGCTTCCTCCCACCAGGAGGCTGCCAGATTGTTCGTCTCCTGTTTGACTTTCCAGCATTTCTTTGGGCATGTTATTCTAGTTCTAATCCCGAATTACCTATTTGACCACCGAGTACTGCCTAACCCTCCTGATTCTGATCGTTTTCTGTGCATTGACTTATGCCGTTTCCTGACCTATCGTTTGATTCCTTGGCTGTGACAGTTTGCCGGCACCAACCCTGGACTGATATTATCAACCTGAGTGTGTTTCTTGTTTTATCAGACTTCTGCATTGTATACAGTTACTTGTGACCAGTTATCTCAGGAAAGAGACAGTGTTATGCTTAACCTTGTCTGGCATTGTAATTGAGTTCACCATTGGCAGCTTTACTTGCCAAGCCTGACAGGAGGTGTCAAAATGTCAACTATCTCAAAACCTTGGCAAATAAAAAAAGAACCAGATATGAATAACCTATGTTCTTGGTTATTCTATGTTTATTCTAAAACTATGTGAATTGATTATTTACTCAATTGTATAATTTATCTGAAAGTATTACAAATTCTAATTGAGTCCAACAGTACTAATCAAATCCGCTATCAGTTTGTGTTTCATAAAGCGACTATTAATAAAAACAGTTTTATACATTTTTGACCAAAGTTTATTTTTTTTTAATTTAAGTGCTAAGTGAGTGATTGAAATTTGGATTTTATCTAGATGTGTATGGGTGGGTGGCGATTGTAAACACACATGCAGTTTTTGTCTTACTTGGGATCTCGTGGGCTGTTTGGCCGGCTGTTAGTGCGAAGTCTGGTCTCTATTCCTCCTGATGGTTGCTCTGGTGCTGAACCTGGGCTTACACGTCTGCTTAAAAATAAACAAAAATCTTCAGCAACAGAGAAAATTACACTTGTCATAACTTTTTCAGATGAACAAAAGAAACAAGCCACTAGATCACATACATAATAATGCATTTTATAAACTCTGCTTTTTAATTATAAACATACATAATTAGAATTAAATGCATCAAAGACTACACAAAATTTTACAATTAACTTAGCAGGAAAAAACACACACTAATCTCACCGTCAAATATACTTCTCTATTGCTCTCCCAGTTACATACACACACATTATTTTACTTTCTCTCCATCAGTTGTCAATCACACAAAGTTTACATTATTTCTCTTGTCATAGTTACTAATTTCAGTGTTAAATCCTTTCCTCTATTTTATCAATTTGTATGTCACTGGCTGTTATGCATCCATTTTGAAAGATCTGACTTAATTATAAAGATTTTTGCAAATATGGAATTATGAGGGTGCCCAGATGAACTTGCCAACAGCTCTAAATATTTCAGATTATTCAGAGAACTGCCCCTCTTCAATAGATACTCCAGCATCATTTCTTATTCATCCTAAGAGATTCCAAACAACAGCTAGTTTATAATGTGTCACTGAAACCCTTAAGAAAAACCCATGCTAACTGAAAGCCTGTAACATGTGGTAACACCTAATTAAATGAGCACTTAATTGCTAACTGCTAATACTGTAGCTGATGTGAAACAAGTAAGATGATTCCCATCCCTAAAGCTGCACCATTAGCATGGATAAAAAGACTGGCAGAGTTTTGCAAAGTTAGCTGAGCCTTACATGTGCCTGGGTGGGATGTGTGTTTCTGCAATTATCCCAAGGTGTATAATAAATTATGCAGATCTACCCTACACCAACCACAGATACAGCCTTGGACCCACAGTTTGCTTTGGACCAGTGTACAAGGTCACACTTAACACTGGCATCATAGCAGCCAGCGACTCTATGTCACCAAAATGACCTAATATTCTGCTGATGTGGTGCGTACCTTGGCTCATCTGGAGAAGGTTCCTGCGCCAGGCCATTGGTCTGGGCAGGGCTGTGGGCAGGGCTGTTCTCTGGACTAACTTCTTCTTTAGCACCATTTGTTGGTGGCAGCTCCAGGCAGGCCCTCACACCCTCCCACTGTTGTGCTGCATTACGGATTGCCAGACGTCGCTTCTCCTTGACAAACACAACACACACACACACACACACACACAGAGGGCAGAAAAAAGCTTCAAGTGACAGTTCTCCTAAGCAGGACACTAAGGGCCTTAACTCAGCTAATGGAACCATGCAGACCTATTCCTCCTGCCTTGCTTGCATCTGAGATATGATATTGAGGAGAGTACGAAAACCAATAGCTGGCATTACTGGCAGATATCATGCCTGACTAAAGTTAGACCTGAAATTGCATATTAATCTACTACTACTACTACTACTACTACTACTTTTGGCTGTTCCAAGTAGGGGTCGCCACAGTGAATCCAAGTCGCACGTGTAAATGTGGCACATTTTTACACCGTATGCCCTTCCTGACACAACCCTCTCTATTTATCCGGGCTTCGGACCTGCACAGAAGTCACTGGTGTGAAACCCCTGTGGCTACATACACTCACTCCTAGGGGCAATTTAGAGTCCTCCAATCAACCTAAGCCTGCATGTCTTTGGACTGTGGGAGAATGAAATTGCATATTAATATGTTGGTTAAATGTATTTGCTTCTGTTAGGACAGCAGTTTGATTTAAATGAAATTGGCTCTGACAGCAGTGAAAGTGACATCCCCATCCTGTAAGAGAGAAGATTTCTGCTCCACCACTGCCTTTCAATTGTTCTTGGCCAAGTTGTGGTTTCGCTATGCTCCGTTATGGAATGTGCCACTCCCCAACACAGGGGTGAGTCAGTATCAGTTTATAATGAATCCTTAGCCCTCATGAACCCATGGCTGCAGGATTCAAGATAACATTTTTTCAACACCAGGAATTAGCAGGGGTTAGGTTACAGAGACAATGCAATCTACATTCTGCACAGAGACCATCTCTCAGCAAAAGACACCACTGCAGACACAGCAGGAGTACATCAATATGCTCTTTCATCCCCCCCCCACACACACACACACTCAAACACACACTTACAGAACATCTTAGACCATTTAAAGAAATAAAATATATAACAGACTCACTGAGGACAGTATACTCCTCCCCCATATATTAACAATGTTCCCATAGGGCACCTACAGTATGTCAAAGGACTAATGAGGCTACATTTGAAAAGTTGAAAGTTCATGTCAGCATCCAAAAAGAATATTTAATGGCTTACTGATCACAGAAACACAGCTTCAACAATACCAAAATACATTAGTTATTACAAGACACATAAGAAGAAGTAAAAAGTTGCAAATCCTAAACATGAGCTAAATGTTTTCTTATCAAGTGTTTTTATGGGCAAAATAAACACAAAGAAAAAAACAGATGCCAATTATGAGGTCAAATAAGTCACTTATTATTATTCTTGTATTATCAGAGCTCTATTCAGTACTTAAACCTTTGTAACTAACTTTCCTCTTCCTTCCAACAATAACTTATTGAACAACATCCAGTTTATGAAAAAAGGCACTTGTGGATCTTGTGGATACAGAGAACACTTGATAATCTAGTGTCTGAAATACAGTCCATCGCTGCATATTTGCTGTATATTCAAATTCTAAATCCAGGCAGGCAAAGTCAAGAAAAGCATGGAGATCAGAGTGGTACCTTATGAATGGTCTGCTTGTGACTCTCCTTCTTCCTCTCCTCCTCTTTTCGAGCTGTGCGCCGATCCTCGTCCTGAAAAAGACAGCTAGTGCAATCAGACTGTCACTCCATTCATGAGTTCTGAATTCTTCAGGAGAGAGAGGAACCACAAAAGACATCGTCAGAAAGACTGTTCTCGAAACCAGAACTGAGCCACAATGGAGGTTGGGAGACATTCTCACACCAGCCGCTTGCCTCATAGGATTATCTATCTGATTATCAGTCTTAGATCAACTGAGCCCAGCTGTTGGAGAAAGCAAAAAGTCCCAGAATGCAATGCTGCCAACACAATCTGAGTGTGCCTGCTGAGAGCTGGGATATTCAGATGTCTGTGACAAGCTAGCAGAGCTGATGCTCTAGCCAAATCAATAGAGGCAAAATGCTAGCCTCAGTCAAGGCACTGGTGTCAGCATGGGGAGAAAGATTAAGATGCTAGACCTGAATGTCACTGCTTTAACAAGTTTTGTGAGGAGAACAGTTTCTAATGGGTGTAATAACCAAAGTACATATCAGAATCAGAATTATTGGCCAGGTCTGTTGGACACACAAGGAATTTGACTCTGGTACAGCAGCTCTCAATGTGCATGTACATGTCCTTATGTAAGGCAGCAATGGGCAAGTAAACAATATGCTATTCTGTAAATGGACTGTATTTATATAGCACATTTTTCCAGTGTGTTGCACTGGCCAAAGCGCTTTACAGGAGATGATACACCATTCACACACAACATTCACACACCGATGACGACAGGCCACCACACAACCGCGCTAGTCAAGCCACCGGAAGCAATTTGGGGTTCAGTATCTTGCTCAAGGACACTTAGGGATGCAGGGAGACTGGGAGTCGAACCACCAACTAGCTGGTCAGGAGATGACTGCCCTACCTCATGAGCCACAGCCACCCTGTATAAATATCTTAGTGACTGCAGAGGGTGTTATTTTGGGTTAATTGTGTAGCTTTTAAG